TTCAATCTCTCACGTAGGCGCTCCAGAGCACGATATGTGTACAAAGAGATCAAATGCGAACGTTTGGTACTCGATGGCCTGATGATCTCTTTGATTTTCAAGAGCGCTCCCTTCTGTTCCGTTACATTAACTCGTTTTCCTCTTCATTTTCTCTGATGAATAAAATCGATCTTTCTGCATGGTTAATCAAAGGAAGATTCTCGTTCGATAGTGACGCTACGGAGAATATCAACGAGTCCATTCAGTGAAAGCGGATCATTATTTTTCTAGTCCTTAGAATCGAGGTAGTGTGTCAGTGACAAGACGAGTATTTCGAGGTAGCTAGCAGACGAGAATGTTACTGTCGTTTTGTTTACCACTGCGCGTCCGTGGGGGTGCAGTGTGTAGAACGAAAAAGAAAATGGCCTACCTAGATGCCTATCGTTAGAGAAAGAAGAAAATGCATCGTCATTCTGGTTGTTACAAAGCAAGAAATGGCCACGTATGCGACACCGTTGAAATTGGGTCCTCTGCTGTTGAAAAATCGCGTTATTATGGCATCGTTGACGCGTGACAGAAATCTCGTCCCCGGTCCACTGCAAGTGGAATATTACAAGCAGCGAGCGAATGCTGGTTTGATTCTGACGGAAGGAACATTGATCGAAGAACTGGGGTCTGAATGGAGCAATGCGCGTCAGTGTTGATTATTCGTCAGTTTCATTTCTAGCTTCATTTTTCTATTCTAGCCGGGATCTATAACGATGAACAGGTGGGAGGCTGGAAGAAAGTAGTGGACGCTGTCCACGCTAGTAACGGCCTGATATTTCTTCAGCTATGGCATATCGGACGGGTTGCTCATCCGCTCCTTCAGCATGGTCGAGCCAATGTTGCCCCATCGGCTCTGACAGCACAAGGCGGAAAATTCCGGCAACTAGAAGGAAAACCTGGCTATGTGCAGCCGGAAGCTATCGAAGATCCGGAAAAATACATCGTCTTGTACATACGAGCAGCGGAACGAGCGAAGCAAGCAGGATTCGATGGTGTTGAACTGCACAGGTAAGTCAACTGCTGTTCCACGAGCGAGGTCCCGAAAGCAATCGTCTCATTTAGTGCCAACGGCTATTTAGCGCATCAGTTCATCGATAACACGTCCAACCATCGGACAGATCAGTGGGGTGGATCAGTAGAGAATCGCTGTCGGTTTCCGTTGCGTGTGATCGATGAAATCTCGCGCGTCTATGGCAACGATCGTGTTGGTATCAAACTTTCACCGGGCGGAGGATACAACGATATGGGCATGAACGAAAAAGATACTGTTGAAACGTACAGCTATTTGATCAAAGAACTCAATGCCAGAAAGATTGCCTACATTCAGTTGGCACGTTACTGGGCCTTAGGAGATCCGGTGAAACGCGGTACCCCGATTGACGTGTTCCAATGGAGAAACCTGATTGATTCGAAGCATACGGCCCTCTTTGCTAATACAGATTATCATCCGGAAGAAGGAGCCGAAACGTTAAAATCTGGCCAAGCGGATGGTATCGTCTACGGAACGCTCTAATACTTGGAAGAAAGGTGTGGCCGTGTGATTCTCTGTCCAAATCGACATCCACCGTGAAAAGCGAATCTATGTGATTATCCATCACAATCGATCTCCATGGCGAAGAA